ATAGCGTTGAGGGTGTTTGAAACAAAACATTAGGATACATTAAGCTTACTCTCAAATACATATACATGTGTGTGCACATACATACATATTAGGATATACATGCTATACCACATGGAGTGACAGTACAGTACTCACCCCAAGGTCACACACATCTAACACATATCCCAGTGGCACCTGGCAGGTGAAACCTCCCCTCTGTTGGCCAGAGGGACAGGTGAGACTCCCAGGCCATTGCCATTGCCCTTGGCCACCTCTTGGCCGTCTCCCAGAGGTTGAGGGTAAGTCCCTATTGCTGAAGACATCACACGCTTTGGACACAGGACTCGGGGGTGAGCTGGGACTGACCTGGAAGTCTCCTCCCTGAGGACCGGCTCTCGAAGCACCAGAAGGTGCAATCCAAGCTCCCAAGGGAGGACAGTTGGTAGCCCCCTCCTCCGCACCTGTAAAGCCTATGAACCACAATGGCGCAGACATCTTGGAGGACCGTCCCGCCGACCACCCGCAGAAACTGGAGATGTTCAGCTTTCTTCACTGGGGCACATGGCTGTGCCCTTGCTCGGGGCCCCAGCTCCAGAGGGAGAGGGGAAGGGAGGAGCAGGTACAGATGCCCTCCCTGTCTTCTTCCAAGGTCCTTTCTCCTGGCCCAGACTTCATCACCGGGCTTTCCCTACAAGGATGTGTGCAGCTGAAGTCGTCAGGAAGATGGAGAATTTGGAAATGGCCCCTGGACACTGATAATCGAATGTGGATGCACATGCTTTTCCTCCACTTGTCCTTGTACTCTCCAACGTTCAGGGGGAAGAAGAGGGTAAAACAGGAGAGCACAAAAGGAAAGCACAAAGTGTGAAGCCGTGGAAAGAAAACCGGCAACACCTCCCCCTTCCTAAGATCTTAATCCAGGACGCTCTAATGCTCGTTGGGGGTGAAGAGGAAGAGCTCAGTTCATCTGAGTCCTCTATTAGATGTCACGACGCACCGTATACAGCATAAGAACTCCACAGCCCCCCTTAACTCTTTAGGCTCCTATGGGTACACATATGGATGGAATATATACTATATATACATATATAGTATATATATATATATATATATATATACATATATAGTATATATATATCGATGGCTGTTACCTGTAAACGAGGAAATTCAAGCGCTGAACAGCGGTCCGTAACCTAAGGGAACAAGTGTCGGAGCTAGATGGAAACCTAAGCCTGCTGCCAGCCCAACACCAGAAAATGACCTCACTCTGGTTCTGTCTGGCAAGAAGACAAGACTGAAATCCATCACAGTCTCCATATTGTACCCTTCAGTGTCTAAATGACAATCCTGATGGCACTGGTCTCCCTGATCCAACCTTTCTGTCACCCAAGATGTTACAGTGACTTCTCAAGGCAGGTCAAGAGTTACATCTTCCTCCTGGTCACAACACATTTCACCTCTATGTGGTTATTTCCCCAGATGTATTGCCTGCCTTATTCAGCATAGTTCTACTGTGAAGATAACCCATCTGGGGGCTATTTTCTTTCTTTTCTTTCCTTCTTTCTTTCTTTTCTTTTCTTTTTTTTTTTTTTTTTTTTTTTTTTTTTTTTT